GGCGCCCGATAAACCGCAGGCAGAGAGGGAGAAGAGGACAACAAACGAGGGGCTGTGACAAACTGTTTCATCAGAGTTCATATATAATTTTAAAAATTTTATTTTTATATTAAATTTGGTAGAGAATTTCGATGTGACCCTGAGGCGAAGTTGTTCAGTTTATTTTTCTGCATGACCTGGGCGGTACCGGGCTGCCGGGCCACACCTTGTTTGACCGGGCAGCCCAGAAGGGCATGGCAAAAGGGTCGAAATTCTCTACCAAATTTGAAATTTCAGATGAAAATAAAAATACAACAATAATATTTTAATTTTAATTTTTGACCCAGCCGAGCAATTGGCCCCGAGCCACACTGGTAGCCTAGTGCATAACACAGTTTTTTTTCGGATTTTCGTTTTTTCTTCTTTTTCTTCCTTGCAAGGCCAGGCTGCCCGGGAAAACAGGGTGACCAGGGCGGCCTGGCTGGTAGCCTAGTTGAACACACTAGGCGACCAGAATTGTACCCCGCTCCGTGTTTGAGAAACGGCTGCACAGATCATTGTACACAGTACAAAGTAGATAGCATTGGGATAATAGTATCGTAATACAGAGTACACTGTACATACCTTGAGAATTGCTGTGGTGTTAGACTCACAAAACCGAAGCACACTCCACCTCAGGAGCAAATCAAGATTGTCAACGATTTCCTTCTTGTATTGCGGAATGGCCTGCAAGGTCACCCAAACAGTCCAAAAGCACGCATCCAACCGACAACAACAGTAAGGGAAAGACAAACTCTATTACTGCTAAATTACTAAATTAGTAAACTCTACGAGATTTTCATACACCGCACTAATAACAATTCACCAGACAGATTCAAAGACAAGAGACAGAAATAAATTGTGACTGTGTGTATGAATTGCGTAAAATGGTAAACTAGAATCCAAGCAGACCACAGAATTGAGGCCACGTCAACATAACTAGGAGTCGGACAAAGAGCCTAAGAACAGTTCTGCGCTTTCATTCACAGAAAAATAAAGAATGTGCTGATTTAGGCACAGGACTTGCTGGCAGACCTTTGCGATGCATGTCCAGGACACAGGAGAATGAGGCACCAAAGCTGTGGGGCATGCATGCATCACACCTTTTGCATTTATCAAGAAATAGTTGTCACATAGTTTTTGAACTTTTTGCATAGTTTTTGTATTTTTTCTGTGTAGTTCTTGCATTCTTTTGCAAACCTTTTGCATTATATCAAGGCTTCTTTTTTTTGCATAGTTTATTATTTTTCGCGTAGTTTCTGCATACCTTCTGCATTTTATCAAGGCATAGTTTTTGCATAGCTTTTGCATTATATCAAGGCATAGTTTTTGCATAACTTTTGCATTATATCAAGGCATAGTTTCTGCATAGTTTTTGCATTACATCAAGGCATAGTTTTTGCTAGTTTTTGCATAGTTTTTGCATTATATCAGGGCATAGTTATTGCATACCTTTTGCATTAAGTCAAGGCCTTCAACTTGTTTCTTGAAATCTGGGCTGAAGAGCCTCCTGTGCAGGTCATCTCGGAAGAATGGGGCCATCAATTGCTGCACAACCAAACAGAAGAGGACATAAGATACCAAACATACTCGGCCGAAGAGGGCACCAGCCGACCTCAGGTTTTCTCGCCTAGCTACTGGGGGAAGCTGCAAAAAAGGGTGAGGGAGAAGTCCAGTAAAATAGGCTGTGACAGGAGCACAAGTCAAAACAGATATGTTACAAAACACTAGGGAGAATAGCAATCTTTGACACAATTGGGGCCTCAACTGTTTCATAAACGTGAGGGGCAGGGTCCACCGGCGCTACATTTGTGCTCGGAGAGTCATAAAAGCAGGTAGATTTGCACTAGCACAGTACCAATGGGGATTGACTCCTGAGTCCTGACAGGTTTGGTACCTAGCCCGGTTAATATCTATACCGTCCACCAGGGCAGGTTCCACAGACACTGTTGGTTGAATCCCCCAAGCAGGTAGATTTGCATTAGCATAGCACAGTACCAATGGGGCTTGCCCCTGACTCCTGAGTCCTGACTGGTTTGGTACCTAGCCCGGTTAATATCTATACCGTCCACCAGGGCAGGTTCCACAGACACTGTTGGTTGAATCCCCCAAGCAGGTAGATTTGCACTAGCATAGCACAGTACCAATGGGGCTTGCCCCTGACTCCTGAGTCCTGACTGGTTTGGTACCAAGCCCGGTTAATATCTATACCGTCCACCAGGGCAGGTTCCACGGACACTGTTGGTTGAATCCCCCATAGCAGCATCAATTAGGAAAGTCATGCCAACACATCAATATGTTAATGGTTAACAAAAAAAAAAAAAAAAAAAAAACAGAAACTGCCACACTCCACACTCATCATCAGAACCAATTGCTTTTTCAGGCAAGGACTCCCGGACCCAATCGCTTCCTGACTCCCCCTGCCATAGTAAAAGCAAAAACTAGCTAACCTATGCACAGATGGAAACAAGATTCACATTAATACATCCCCTTTCCAACCCTTTCGTCAAGTTTCAACCCCTCTTTTGTACCATTTCCCCACTGAAGCCATCGCATAGCTTTTGGACATAACCTCAGACCTGCACTCCGTTTGACCTGCAGTCCGTTTCAACCCTGAGGGATAAGACGTCTTCCTTTGCTCAACGTCCTGTCCAGACAGCCCATCAACACAAGAACAGTTATGAAGGGATTATACTACGCACCTCAAGGTCAGCCACCTGCTCAGGCCTGGGGTCCTCGAATTTTATTTTGCGTGGGCATTTCCTTTCGCGATCATCCTGTCACCATGACAATTTCAAAAACCATATTAAGCACTATTAACTACTATTCAGATAAAAAAATAACAACTTTGTCACAGCTTCCACAAGAGAGCAAGGCAGAAAATGCTGAAGATCACGAAGGACTCCCAAATTCCTGCAGATGTCATCGATTCCATTCATAGACATACCTGCAGATGTCATCGATTCCATTCATAGACAATGTTATCTGACAAATCCTGCACATGTCATCGATTCCATTCATAGACGGCCACCAAAAAAATCATTACCCATTAAGACGTGACAAAGGACATGAATACCATGGGACGTGACTTTTGACCGCCCAAATCTCGACTATGACCGGAAGTTACGACCCCTGCCCGCGCCTATGCGGATGTGGAGTGAGTTTGTTGCAAATACAGTCAGTCAACACGACTCAACATGTCATGCACCTCTCTGTATTAAACCACCAGCACATGACCCCAGTCGAACTAAGCCCCTGTCGCGTAGGTTACAGGGCATCGGCCTTGAAGTAGGTGAGGCAGGATCAAGCCTGCCTAGGCTAGAAAAAGACGGCCTACTGGGCTGCAAACCTTCAAATAGAAGGAGTACGGATATAGCTCTCGTGACAAGAGTAAGCCCAATAGGTATTGCGCCAACTTGAGAACATCGAGAGGCATTCTCTCCGCGGCTCGGGGGAACCAGCTAAAACAGAACAACATAAAAATAAAATACCGCCCTGGTGTTTCAGCAAAGGTTGGTGCACAAGCGGAACCCGCCTCGTACAAAGGACTCCCCAATGTACTGGTGGTTCAAAAGCCCATTAGTACATCAAGGTCTTCTCCCTGTTGAAGCCCACAGTGCTTTATAAATCTGCAACAAAGTGCCATTCATCCATTGATGCACCTTGATCCCGCAAGTGCCAGATGAAAAGCGGCTTTCTAAAATCAAAAGTGGTTATGGAATGTGCATCCTCACCTTCAAGTCGTTTGCCACAAATAGAGGCTCTGACTGCAAAGCCGCATCCCGCGCTGCATCAGCAGACACCTGCTTACGGGCAGTAGACGCAGGCGCCCCTCTTGCCTGCAAGACAAAGATTCCATTGAAGAATTGCTTATTATCAGGAAAAAGCAAAAGAAAACGGTCCCAAGTCTTCTGACCCCAAAAGCACCAGTCCACTTATACCTGCCATGCCAATATTCCTATTCCAGTTTCTCATCGTCTACCAAATAGCCATCGATTGATTGCTCGACTGCCATGAAGTTTGGCAGCAATTGCGATTGCCAATTGCGATTGAATCTATCAATCAATTCAAATCTTAGTTACGCCGGACCCGGACACAGCGGGACATCCAGCCGCACTGACGTCCGGACAAATCCAGAAAAAAAGACGCCGGACCCGGACACACTGGGACATCCAGCCGCACTGACGTCCGGACAAATCCAGAAAAAAAGAAAAGTTTACAGAAGGTTTACAAACAGAGGGTGAACTAGACCATACCTAGCCCAGGCAGTATCCAGCCTGTCCACCTCTCTCTCTCTCTCTCACACACACACACACAAACACACACACACACACACACAGAATCAGTCACAGCCTGGCCCTCTTTGGCTTTCTGAAAGGGCCAGAAAATAGTTAAAAAATCCCAAAACATTTTTTTGGGCGTGGGCCTTGAACAACCAAAAAAAAACAGACATCCGCCCGGACGTCCAGACGCGGACCGTCCGGACTGGGCTCCGGACATCCGCATGGTAACCATGATTCAAATCCATTCACTTGCAATGCCATGAAGTTTCCCACAAAGGGCGTGCCATAGAAGGTCACCAGGAGGTTCAACACACAACATCCATGCAAACATATTCCTACATGAAAATAATGCCTCGTTCACAACTTATACATCAGGACTCACCCCTCTGACACCTGAAACTGCTGATTTCGTTCTTCCTCCTTCATCATCAGACTTCCTTCCAGCCGTTGATGTCTTCCCTCCTCGTGTCGACGTCTTAGACCCTCCCCTCGGAGCTGCAAGGTCATCGATCGGTGCACCTATTGAACACAACAAACATTTCGCTACCATCGTCAAAACCTCAAAAGCACGAACTCAATTTCTCTGAAATCTTACACAGTCCAGACCTTGCAGGTTCGAGCATAAAATTCTTCTGCCCTTTGCTTACACATCTTTCGAATGTGTGAAATCACTTTTAATCAAGATAAGCTCTGTCGGAGTATGTCCTAAGAACTGGTCACTTGATCCAGTGAAACCCCGCCCCACAATAAATGTTCAAGTCATTGCTCATACGATCGAGGGCAATTTCCTGGGCGCCCGGGGGCCAAATTCCCGACCGGAATGGCACCTGGGCGCCTGGCCGGGCAGGACCCCCGGTCGGGCCCCCGGGCGATTTTTGCGCAAGGCCCGAAATTTTTTTTTTCGGGGCCTGGGGGGTGCTCTGGGGGTCCTTCAGGTCGGTAGCACAGACGGCAAAAAATTTTCGGCCTTCTGGGGACCCGAAAAATGCCTGGCCGCGTCGCCAAGATCTGGCCATCGATCTCGAAGATCGACGGCTGGATTTTGCAGGTATTCAAATTCGTTTGCCCGCGCATTTTCGCGTCGGGGCGACGAGTTTGCCAACGCGAGAACGCGCGGGCAAACGAGTTCCCCTACGGAGTCAGCCATCGGAGCCCGCACGACGACGACGAAGCCCCCAACACCCACTGCTGTTGCCCCGGGAGCCCGCCGCCGTCGCCCGCCGGCCAGTCCTCGGCCATCGACGGTTTGTGTGTGTGTGTGTGTGTGTGTGTGTGTGTGTGAGAGAGAGAGAGAGAGTAGCCCTTTCTCTCCTTTTCTTCTTCTTCCTCTTCCTCTTGTTCTCGTCCAGCTGCCCATCGCCCCGCACATCGCCCCGCCACCC